ATCAATATTTAAATACCATTATGGCCACTCTACTTTGGTTTGTCGGTGTAATATATCGTGAAGGTCGTAATCACCAATGCAGCAAGGGTCTCGTCGTAACTTTTCCAAAAATTCTTCGAATGATGTTTCAGCCACGGTAGAAGGTGATTCCGATGTTTTTACAGTTTTCCTTCTAGTAATAGCATCAAGCCTTGTTACCAACCATATCCAAATTTTAGCAAGCCATTCTCGTGAAGCCATTAAGTTCTTTTCAAAATTCCACAGATAGATAGTAATTCTAAAAGTACTTAAAGAATATTGGTTTCGTGTTAGTCTAATTGAAATAATAAATATCTTAGAAAGATAAATGCATATGTGTATTAGTATGACTTAAATAACTTATTGGGGAAAACTAATTTTCATCCGATTATCAGATAAGATGTTCAAATTCTACTAGTTTCATCTAGATACTGCTTAGACGCAATCGTTAGATTTTATAACATGAATCGATTTTCTCATCAATATGTATGGATATAGTAATAGGAAAAAATACTGCAAATGATATTAGTGAGACTTAATTAAACATTATTCAAATGTAACTGCAAGCTGAGAAAGCTACGAAGAACTATTGACACTCGATTAGTGAGAAAGTATTCTGATGCTGAACTCATAATACATTCAGCAATATTTGTTATCGAAGGATACAATTCATTAAATCAACTGTTTTTCTCTATGTAGTAAGAAGCAACAAATATCTTTTTAATGTGCATTATTGTCATGGATAGTTCGATTTGAGATGATTGAAACGATTTTGAAAAGAATGTTTCCATTTCTTGTTCATTCTTAACGAAACAGAAGTACATAAGTTCAATACGCTATTCTTGGTATGGTATTATTGAAAAATAATGAGTGAGAAATACTGATGCTAATTTCTAAACATTGAAATTTTTCTCGATATCGTGATTGTGAGGCGTCATGTTAACAATTCTGAACTATTCAGATCCATTTTCGAGTTTGTCTTATTACATAGAGTATTCTTCGCTTATACAATACTACTTTTTTGTTTACTTCCTTTCACTTCCCATAAACAAACAGTAAAAACTATACTTCAACCGAAAATTGTACCATTGACGAAGTATTGACTCTCTAGAGCAGGGCTTTAAATGTTGAACTTTCGAAGCACAGCGAACATATAATTTTCTTTCTGAATCCTATTTAATTACCGAAAGTTATTGATAAGACATGTATGATGCTGCTATAAACAACGAATTAATTTTTCAGCCAAACATATATGAAAGTGATTTTTCTACACTTTCGAACGTGCATACGACTGGTTCGAAGGACAGCAACAAGTATATGTAATGTTTATAAAATACTGTTTTTTTACTTCCTTTGAAAAAATATGCTTCAATCGAGAAGCGAACCCATGACCAAATACTGGTTATCCGGACTGGTAGTCAGATTAGTAAGTCACTCAACTACATGGATCATATTCACTCTTGAAGAAAGATATAAATCACTTTCGTATACACTTACTTGAGAAATTGTTTAGGTATATGTAGCTATATTGTGTCGACGTTAAAAACTTTTAATAATGAATTACCATTCAGAGAGAAACTTTTATATACGGTAAAGACATATATTCTCTTGTTTGTTGTTTATTTGTTTATCAAAAACTGAAGAAAGTAAAAACTAACATGGTATAAACATTATGTATACTTCTTTCAGTCTTTTGAATCAATCGTATTCATGTTTGAAAGAGCAGAAAGAAATCATATTCACATACATCTGAGTGAGAAATCGCTTCTTTATACAGAGTTGCATGGTACGTATCGTATCGACGTTAAAATCCTTCGGTAGTGAAATATTACTCAAATCAACAATTATATGTATATGTATTAAAGCATAGATTTTCTTTTCTGTTTGGTTATCGAAAGACAAGGGAAGTAAAAACCAGCATTTTATAAATGTTACATATACTGCAATCATTCATTTAAATGCAAGTCAGAAAAAATTGATTAAGTGTAGCATTTTTTGATGAAGTTCAATGTGTCTTTTGATTATCGTTATACGTTTTGAATCGAAATCGATCTTTTTTCTTTTTTTATCAATTAAAATGAACTTTTTAAGTTTTGATCGATTTCTGATGTAGTTTCATTATCTCAATTTAAAACAATTTATATAAGAGTTTAAACTTTACTTCATTGATGTGGCTCTATCTTCGTGATAACTTCATCGTTTCTGAATGGAAGAAATCAACGAAAATCATAAAGAATTAGAGTGAAGCGTTCATACGTCCATAAAAGTACTTATCTTAGATATGTATGATTAAATTCGATTGACAAATAAGGATGTGGGTGTGAGTGTGTGTGTGAGAAATGTACAGCGTCCACATGTGACATCTCACACGCCACACCCATATCCACACTTACATCCAAGAATTGTTTCGATCGATGAAGAATATTAATCATCAATTTTTAGAGTGTAAAAGAAAATTTTCCTTCGTAGACAAAAGCTGGAATAAACCAACTTGTGTTTCTGTTTGCTTCGATTTGTTGTTCTACTTCATGCACGTTTGATGAATCATTGTGTATATGCCGTCATCCATCGGATGAAGTTGCGTAATTTCATTCCTTTCATTGGTAAAAACTTAGTTTGACCTTATGCTTCACACGCGACATTCATTGCATCACCTTCAAACACTATGAGTTACTTATCATACGACAAAGACATTTTCTTTATTCCTGACGAACTCTACGAAGTGATTCGACGAAATGAACCGGCTGAGCTTCGTACTTGTCTGATACAAATGTCCTACATTAGATTGGCTCTGCAAGTGGTAGAATTACGATATGAAGGGCATGTAAGTATACTCATGCTTGCTGCTCTTTACGGATCCGAAGATTTCGTACGTGGATTACTTTCTTGGGATTCAAGCCCAAAACAAGTGGAACTTCGAGGAAATGTATACAACATCAATGGAGATTTAATCAATAACGTCACTGCATTATGGTGTGCTTTAGATCAAGGACATTATGGCGTGGCATCTATTTTGATCAATGAAGGCAAGGCCGATATATACTGTGGTCCGAATCATTCACTGTTCGATTATTTCATTGAGACTGGACGACTCGATGTTATACAATTTTTAGTTGAGAATGATTATGCCACGACGAAAAGACAAAAAATAACTAATGACTCTCATTATCTTTATCTTGACTTGGCTGCTAGTTTAGGTCACACAGATATTGTAATTTATTTTCTTTTAAAAGGCGATGAAGAAGACATCAGACAAAGTATCGGTGTGAGCAGTGCCTTACATCGAGCTGCTGAAAACGGCCATTATGATTGTGTACGAGTTTTATGCAATGCTGGTCTTTCTCCAAAAACAAAAAATTCAAATGGAAAAACAGTATTGAGATTGGCAGCTGAAAATAATCACTCGAGTATCGTTGATTTTTTATTGGGATACAATAATGATGAGGCCAGTTTCAATGAGCTCGAATTATTAGCTTCTTCATATATGATCTCAGTTTGGCATTTCGACGAGCGTGAACCATCCGATCGAATGCGTACTTTATTAAAACAGTCACTCATAAAGCGTGTCTTGCTGAATATCCCAAAAGAAGTTGCGCAACCGATTTCAGCCTATGAATTCCAGCAAGAATGTCAATCGATCGATGAATTTGATCAGATTCAACATAATGTTGATCGATTGTATCTTGAGGCATTACTCATTCGAGAACGTATTCTTTTACCAGAAAAGGAAGAAACATTCTTTTCACCATTATATCAACGAGGATTCGTACTTGTTGAGCGAGGTGAATTCTATCAATGCTTCAACCTGTGGTTTCACATTTTTCAATTGTATCAACGAATGGAATTGGAAACTAATCTTCAAAGTTTCGTTTGGCTTTTCTGTCGAATGCTCGCTGCTGGAATACCCATTCCTGTTGATCAATTCTTAGCAATATGTTATCTCACCTTCCAATCATCACAACAGAAGTTCACAAACGAAAGTCTAGCAACAGCTTTATGTCTCGTAGCAATTGCAACAAAGGTAACGTAGAACTTATATGTCTCTGACAAGATCCTTAGGATCTTTCTATCATATTCAAGTCTATTGTTTAGTTATGAGGGGGAAAAACCGGTTTTGGATGTTTTTTCGAATAGAAAAACAATTTATCAGATGAACGGACTCTGTCGCAGTACTTCATCGATTAGTAGTGATTTTCTATTGCTCTTTTTTACTATGTTTTTGATCAATATTAACTATCGACTACTACCCGTTACATTATTCAAGAATGGTTCTGTAAATTGATCGATCGTTCTGGCAATTGTTATCGATTTTGAAAATAGGAATACAATATTATTATTTGAGTTATACCAGGGTTCGTAAAAAAAACAAATGACTGTAAATAATACAGTAAGACAAGTAATTTTATCGAGAAAAGTTTCTGTCTGAATGGTTTATGTATCGGAATCAACTGATGACAGAGATCAAAATTCAAAACAGCAAGAGACAAAACTTTTCTTGTGTTCATTGACCAGCATAAAAGTCATTACTTTCTATTTCGTGGGAAAACCAAGAAAGACAATGAATTCACAATATCCATTACCATACTTTCCGTATGTAATTGTTTGGACTGCAGATGCTGTTTCCAAATCACATACAAACCTGCATTATCTCGTTTAGACTATTCATGATTACAGAATGACTCATCATTTTGCTTTTTTTTGTTAACAGCTCCTAGAACAAGACATTATTGATAGTGCCGAGCGTCATTCAATTTCTCAGTGGATTCAATATCTATGTCGTGAACAACCGATCACAGAAGACAGTGATCAAACACTGCTCCATCTGAGTGTCAGCGATCAAACGTATAGATATATCAATTTCAAAATGGAGGACATTCAATCCATTCTTATGTAAGTCATTGACAAGAACAAGTTAGAGAGATTATTACATGCATTAGCAGATGTAACTAGAATGTTTCTGCCTAATCTAGCGAAAGTTTCGTTATCTGTAGGAGAGATAAGAAAATAATTCCGACCATTTGTCTAACATCGATGAACACAGTTGGTCTTCAAAAAACGAGTTAGATGAATTTTCTTATATCATCTGTCTGAACCACCTATCTATCAGTCTTTAGATTTCACCGTATTTAACACTTGTTTATTTAGTTTTCCCAATACGCAAGCAACTCGGCTCCTTCTACATTACGGACGTCGATGGATTGATTTGGATGCTGTGGATCGAATTCAAGGAGATACAGCTCTACATCGAATCGCTAGGAGCGTTACTGGTGTGAATTCAATAACGATCATCGAGCTTCTGATCAATGCCGGAGCTCATATCGACTGTGTCAATAACTATGACGAAACGCCAGCTGATGCAGCCATGATGGTTGAAATTCGTTCTCTATTACAATCAAAACAAAGACCATCACGGCTCAAATGCCTCTGCGCACGTCTCATTGCCAATCAACAACTCAATTACGATTTCGTGTGGCCTGATCACACAGCCTTGAATCGATTCGTTGTCTTGCATGGAGATCTGTCAAGAAAACATGTCGTGTCCGATGAATGTAACTCAATAGAGGATTGGGACTATTTTGACTATGATTAGCTGAACAGTTTTTTGTTTTATGATATCTTAGTCAAATACAAGAAAAAACATAATCAAGAGGCATCTCTCATCTCATTGATTTTTCATTGGCTCAATCGAACTTAATGTAGACTACGCACCGTATTATCAATCGATATTTCTATTCGAACCGATTGGATTCGTCCAAGTTGTTGTTCGGTCCGTTCCAATCGTTTTCAGAACTCTAGTCTACAGACAACATAGCTTCCATTGCTTCATTAACTTTAGATAATTAGATCACTATTTCCTCACAGGTCCTACATGGTTTGGATGTGGATGCTGGTGGGAATAAATAGGAAGTCCCGCGCACACACATCCACACTCTACACCCACGCCCATGTCGTTACAGACTAATTAGAAATATAAACAGTATTGGGTTCTATAAATTAACGCTAGGAGGAGGAAACAATGGCAATGAAAGTGTTGAAATCTCTCATTCACAACTCATTGAATTCTTTCTTATATATGAATACTTCTGTACCTTCAGCTATTCATAGTTTTCCGTTTGGTATATGAAAACAAACATTTGAATCGATCAGTATCACAGAACACTTTGTTTTCACTTTGCTGTATAGAGTATATAAAATGAGTTCGACAATGAGAAACAACTAGAACACACGTATCATTAAATGTTCAACTCATTTAATTGACTTTATTGATAATTAGAAATTGACATGTAACTTTTCCTTCGTGATTTATTTTTAGAAATAAAAATTGCTTATAAAAGATACAGATGTGACAACTATGAAGACAATAGAAGTATCATTATTCATTCATTCAGAATTTGAGCAAATTTTTATAAAGATATCAGTAAAAGATTCGTAAATTAATATTCTTTTATTTCAAAGTCGAACTACACATAACTGATCAAAATTTTAATTATATTATAGATCATTTGATCTATTGCAATATATGAAACTTATTCAAATACGTTAACAATTTCAAGAATCTCCAGAAATTTTTTATCGATCGTCATGTCAAAATAAGTTTGATCTCATAGCAAATGGTTTATATCTTAATAAATATCACTTCAAAAGATAATAAAATATAGTTCACCTGATAATGAGGAAATGAAGATTCATCAAATGAAATAATCGTTAATTGATCTTAAATGTCAATAGTCAGATGGCATGGAGTAAGAGATACATTTAAGATTATTAATAAAAAAAAAAGCAAAGAATAGTCATAAAATATTAAGTACGTTTATTATTTTGATGGTTGAACAGCGAGAATACTCTTTTCAATGACGTATCGAAAGGTAAATTCATTTTTAGTTTTGATACCAAACTATTAGTTTTTTTCTGCTAAGTTGCTGCGATCCGACATAGTTTGAACAAATAATCCCAAAGAATCGAGTTCATGGATAATTTCTGAAAATGATATCTAACGCTCTGGTAAACATATAAAAACTGATATAGTTACATATAGAGTATTTGATATGCTACATTCTCATGCATAGTTTATTAAAACTTAGTTCGTGGAGCGAAAAATACGTGAGAAGTATTGATTCTTCAACCTACAAGAATTTTTACTAGTGTCTAATTTCTGACTTTTTTTCATTGGCAGATTGGCTCTAGAAAAATATGATTAATGAGATGCATGAATCCGATGGGTGTGGACGACCTTTTCAGTCACACTCACACCTACACGTACTCTACACCCACGTTTATAAAACGTAGCTTTGACATACGATCGAAATACCAAAAAAGTACGGAATTTTTCGCTTTTTTCATTCTGACTCGTCCTGTTTACTTGTGAAGGTGATGCTGCTTTAGCATGAAAAATTATGATAATCGTCATTTGACGCTCTGTTCAAAGAAATACAAAAAGTTGTGCACACGGACTCTCCGGAAGACATATGGAGATGCAAAGAGAAATCGTTTAGATTTCAGAAAAAACCGTAGCGCCATTGTAATCTTCATGGATAAACCATATGTATCGAAACTTTCAGAATTTTTAATTAATCTCGTGAACTAGAAGAACAAAGATTTATTTTCCTTCAATCATATATTATTTAGTATGAAGCCAGTTTTGTAATGCTCCGGAAAGCGCGGGTATGGCAGAAAGCGAGACCGAATCCTCATGCCATCTACAACCATACCTTTTTCAAAGCCCACTTTATATTTATTTTAGAAAATATTAATTTTGTATGATAAAAAAAAATTTGTTATTTCAGAAAAATATATAGATGATTATTTGAACTAATAAATTATTGAAAAGAAAAAAAAAAAAAGAAAAGCAGAACAGCCATCGATAAAACTATCGAACATTAAAGTTATTATCACTTCTAAAGCATTGATCTACACTTAAATTTAACATACTATCTCTAGTGATGTGTAAGGTCAATGTGAATTATATCATATAATGCACATATAGGATAGTATTTAATATATATATAAAAAATAGATGTTCGGATACACTCAATTTATCGCAGTGATGTGTTAAAAGAAAATTGAAACGTATAATTAGAATGTATAAGAAAAGTGAACAATACAGAACATTATACGGCTATACTTTTTAATTAGAGATTGAATGAATATAGTTGTGCTATTTGTATTTATCCAAACATTTATAATGATTCGTTTCGCTTGCAAATTTTTCATTTAAAAATTTGTTATTTTTTCATAATCTACGATCTTCATTAAAATTAATTTAATTTTGTTATTGTTGTTTTTCGTTTTAAAGAAAAAAAAAACATTTCATAACATTATATTTTCACTTTTTAATTTTTAAGATAATCAATTGTCTTTCTTCTCATCTTATATCAAGCAAAACAATTCAATGTAAAAGAATTGAAAGCACTAAAAAAAAAAAAACAAAAATTTCGTCTATGTCTATACAAATATTTTCATAAACATAAATTGAATGATGACCTTTTCAATATTCACATTCAAGTAGGCAACCATATAAACATAAGAAAAATCTCATCTTTCATTGAACAATAAAATAAATTTCATTTGTCAATTCCATATAATTCAAGTATTCACACAGGGGGGAAAACTATTGATTGGAGTTCGAAAATAATATGTAGGAAGAGATCAGCCATCATTTTAAGTCGAAAAGAAGGTATACAATATAAGAACATCATATTTTTGAACAGAGTTGACGAGGGAACATTCCCGAATGCTCCATCGAGACTCTATATTCAGGTGAGAGACCATAGTGAGTAGTATAAAAGCGTAAGAAAGTTCGGTTGTCGCAACTCTTTGTTCATGAGATATTGAATTTTTAAGAGAAAGTTCGAGTAAATCGAATTTTAAATTTCGACTTGGAAAAAGATAATCATTCTTCTTATACTTAAATCAGTGAAATTTTTACAATGAGTTAATATCATCGAAAGCTTCATTAGTCTCGATCAAAAAAGCCATTGGACACTTCAGGACGTTCTCCCTCTCTCTTCAGCCATCATCGTGTTCCGTCAGTAAAGAAAATATGTTTTGATGACCAAAATTGTCCAACATAGAAATGATTACCCCGAGGTTGTGGATCTGTTCCCCTCCAACTGGGAGGGGAAGGAGACTTAAATCAAAAAACGAAAATTTATAACACACCGTTTGCTTCTCGCTAACAGAATGTGAAATAAAAAAAAGCAAACAATGCTTACTCATTTCGTACGAATGATCAATTTCACTTTCGACAGTTTTAATGATATGTTCCAAGTGAAAATAATAGTATATGATGACAATGATTATTATCATATGAATAGTATATACTATATACAAACGATGGGAAAAATAAGTAAGAAAAAAAAAAGGTTATTATAATTTCTTTGTAGTAAAGTGTTATAAAAATTCATTGAATATAAATATATGGATTTGTTTCGTTTCTCACACGAGATTTTCCTTTTTTTTTTTTGAAACGATCAAAGAATGTGTCAACATATTGTTTGATTGATCATCAATCTAAGACAAGATCTGAATGATATATATAAGGTGACAATCATCACTTTGTCCTTGTGTAACAGTCGGATTGTTCAAAGTCTATTGTTTTTTTCTTTCTTTCTCTCTATTCTAACATACGTTCGTAATCAAATTAGAATGGAGGAAAAAAATTCTTAACACATCAAACAAAAATAAGAATATATCTGCTTGTTGAACTTTCATATATTTATTGATTCACCTTTGGTCAACAATATATATATATATATATAGCTCTTCCTTACTATGTCAACATCATTTAAATACAATTGTATCTATTTAACATAAACAAATATCGACAAATTTTAAATTAACGAAACAATAACATTTAAATCGGATAGTTTTCATTTTTTGTTAAAAAATGAAAATGAAAAGTTGCCTCAAGATAAAGCGAAACAATTCTCTTTTAATAAGTGATTGTCTAAGACCAGGTGTGTAGATGATATTATCTAATCGAAATGTTTTTTTGTCCTATAAGATTGATTATCGTTTTCCGTTCCGCCTATTTCTCTCTTCCATTTCATTACACCTGTACGATTATGTCATAGAAGTATTATTGAAGAACTCTATTGAAAAACAAAACAAAAAAAAAAAAAAAAAATTTATATATACATAAATGTGTACTGAATAAATAGACTTTAGTCAATGACAGTGATCAAATTTCGAATGAACGTGTAAAATGATCAGTCTGTATTTGAAATATCTTGTAGTAATGATGAATCAGTTGACATATCGGATAATGATGTTCGAGAAGTAAATGGAACTAAATACACACAAAAAAAAAAAAAGAAATATTAGTTTATGTATACGTGTAAACATATATATAGGTTTAAATGTGGGAGGAGGATTACCGTCTCTCCTCATTTTTTTGCGTCATTTTCAAGCTATTATCGAAAGTATGTTAAATAGAAGTTTCTTTTTTTTATTGTTTTGTTCTTTACCTGATAGAGATGTATCCGTTTGAAATCGATCAATTAATTGATTTTCTAATTGACGAATATAACGAATTGTTTCTAAGACAATTTCAATTGGTGTTGATGTTGGTTTTTGTTTTAATGTTGGTAAAATTGATTTTAATTTTTTTAATTCAACTTTTGTTAAATCTGTTTTAGTTTTTTTAGTTGATGATGAATTTCGAGTCATTTTTTAATTTCTTTTTTTTTTTTGTTGTTGTATAGAAAATGTAAAAAAAAAAAAAATTTGTATATAATGGATGTTGATGATCGTAGATGTGTATGTGTGTATGCTTATGTATATATATATACTGAAGGATTCATTGAATAGAGGTGAGAACGAAGAAGAAAAAAAAAAAAGAAAACGAAAAGAGAACAAACCTATTGGTTACTTTTTTTTTTTAATATTTTATTCGTTCTTCGTATCGCTTTATCACCTGGTGAATGACATAGACATACATAAATAGAATATGAATAAAGCGAAAAATAATCGCTCGGATCATGTTTATGACACATCAACATGTCATTTCTGTTTTATTTTTTATTACCGTTAAATTTGCATAAAGGTATTAGTCATCATCAGTCTAAGATTTTGGTTATATGGAGAGACAATCTATGAATGTCCTAAAGTTCTGTTCTTTTTTTGCTTCCCAATCTGCATAACATAAGTTGTTCTCCTTCCGAATATCTCTCTGTGGTGATCATGGCCATAGAATGATCGAAAGGAAGACATAGTAATTTCTATCGAACACGTGGATATGACCTATTTTCGATCAAAAATGAATTTTGTGTTTTTTTTTTTCATATAAATATACTCAAAAATAAGATTGATGAAACACTTGCAATGAAAACTCTCCAAAACTCTTGTAAAAAAAGCTTTTTATTTTCTAAATTAGTAAATCATACATCATTTGATATAGTTTTTTTATAAAATATATTTCTATTTTTCTCTCAAAATACTTCTATTGAAAAGTTTTGTTGATATTAGAGTTAGTGAAAAAAGTGGCGGCTATTGATAGAACAAAAGTTCTAGTTTAAGCACTATAGATATATTATTTATTGTTAAACTCTTTTTATTTTTCTCTAAAGTAACTAATATTGTGCATCATTCTCCGCTTCACTATATGTCAAGAAAAAGATTTGAACGGAGTTCATACGTTTCGTTTATATGTAAAAAAACAAAATATTTTCTTGAATTAGTATGAAGTTTATCATTGAAAGAATTTCAATCGCGTGATTCATTGTTAATGCTCATCCTTATTTATATTCACGTTCCACATGAACAATAACAAATATATAGTTTCATTTGACATGTCTCTCACAATGATAATCATAATTCGATTATATATTGGAAAGTAATGCACACAATGCACAATAAAATTTTTTAAAGAAATTCCTCGTTTTTTTTTGTCATGCTCATTAATTTGAACAGCATGACATACAGTTACTTTTCTTTTCGTATTCTATCAATGATGAACAAAAAGACAAATATATGAAAAGACATTCTTGAAATTTTTTTTGAAGTGAAAAAAAAAAAAAAGAGGAGAAATACCTTATTCTTTACATATGTCTGAATTAATTTACGAGAGGGTTAACTTATCAGAATTGTTGGCGTTCTTTTTTCTTTGTTGTTCATAGTAAAGTGAACTTGACATCGCGTATGTATAAGCAGCGGTATGATTTGAGTCTTTGTCTTTGATAAAGTGATATGAAGAGAAGAATAATCATATTTTTTTTTTTTACCTTTACATCTGCTTGAATCGAACAATAATCAGGCGGAGCATATTTTTAACATGATTCGGTATTCATTATCTCTTTGATCTTGTGTTTGTTCAACTAATTATGAAGTAGAACGAAGGACACAATTGATTAAAAAAAAAAAAAAAGGAGAGGGAAAAGATTTACTAAAACAACATAAAAAAAGATCAACAGGATAGGAAATGTTTGTTGGATGTTAGATTTAAAATAAACATTTTTATTTTCTAATGAAAACTAATTGTTATAGAATTTTTTTTGTCAATTAGGAATAAATTGAATTTATATTTAAGATTAAAGTTGAGTATAAATCTCTTATCGATCTAATTTATGTTAATATAAAATGTCTAGAATCATGAATCAATCGAATATTTGAAGTTTAGAATTTCAATTAGTTGTGTATTATCAAATGTAAGATAAAAAAAAAAGTAGTGCCCATGATCGTTATCCTAACAACTATATGTAACTATTGAATTTATGCATGTATTTACGATTTTGGTTGCTAGAAAGTGTTTGTGATGAGTCGAAATCTATGACTTAGAATCAGAATTTTGTGCTCTTTCAAAATATGATCTTAGAAAATTTTCTTCTGAAGTAGTAAAATAACCTTTGAAGAGTTTTAAAAAAATTAGTTTGGACAAAGCTTGTGAGCTGAAGTTATCGGTGAATATATTTGTGCATTTTGGTCTATACGAAAGCATGTCAGTCGAGTCAAAACCTATAGGTCTTGGTCAGAATTTTGTGCTCTTTTTATATATGGGTTTAGAAATATTGTGTCTGTTCTTGTTTAAGAGTATTATGGAATTTTTTGAAAGGCCCAAGAAATTATATTTAATAGTGACACAACAGGTTTTTTATTTACCTATAAGCTCCTTTTCGGACACGCTAAAAATTGTCGGTGTCGGTCATTTCGTAGAGACGATGCTTCTCTACAATATTTGATGTTGAAATAAGCTGTAGCTTTTACCAAAGTGAAGCTACAACCATTTTATTCAGAGCTACTTTGAATGTAAAATGATTTTGATCAAAAACGTCGATTTTTTAAAAATGAGCATTTAGGAAAAAAAGAACATTGAATGGTCTTATTGAAAAACAAACGAACACTGAAATAGTGCATCTTGTAGGGCATCTTCTGATCTACCAAGCTCGTATACAAAATAAACATCCAAACTTTTCTTTCGAATCGAAACGGTTAGTGAAAAAAATAAAAAAATGTGCTGAGAAATTTTGTCCAACTGAATTTTTTCAGCTCTTCAAAGATTATTTTACTACTTCAGAAGAAAAATTTCTAAGATCATAAAATTCTGGTCCTAAGTCATAGATTTCGACTCATTATAAACACTTTTTAATGGCTCAAAATTGGAGAAATATTTTGTCGAAAAAATTTTCGATCACCTTTAACAAAATATTATTATAATATTTTACTAATCTCTTTAAAAATATTCATCTAATGATAAATAACATTTTTTCATATCATATCATTACATCAAGAATTTATTTATTTCCTAGAGACTTGTTCATATTGTTTTTAAATTGTTTCATCTTAGCTCGCATCAACTTTCTTTAATTCATCCATCACTATATATAAGTTTGGATTGGAAGTGGTAATATTAACATTAAGTCGGTAGAACTACCAGCTAACGATACCGTGTTCACGTTAAAATTATAATGGATTGCCATTCTATAAGATATAGATATGAAGAATGATACCGAGATGTTCATCGTGGCTGAAACTCGCCGCGATTGTATTCAAACAAATCTTTCAAATTTTACCGCTGTGACTGTTGTTCATGAGATTGGTAGAGTCAGGATTGCCACCTTTTTCGGATAAAAGACTTTCATTTGATTATTCACAATTCGACATAAAAAAAAACTGTTATTAATCACTCTATTAACGCACTAGAACAACATTAGATTTTTTGCTGTGAACGAGAGACCACTTTTAACTCCTATTAATGAAGTAAAAACACCATTCTACGTTCAATTAATAGCTAACTATGCTGACCCATTTGTTTTTCTTTGCTCTATTGAAACAGAAAAAGGATAAAAATCTGAAAATTTAAATCGCTTTTTTGTAACAAATGCATAACGAGATAATAACTAAGGATGAAAATCGAAAACAGCAACAATAATGCTACAATCAGATGAACATAAATCTGTAGAAATCACAAAGGATGCTTGTAGGTCCAAGAATTATTTTTATCCACATCGACATTTACATCACAAACCTATATAAAATTCAAAAAGTCAGCAAAAATATAAGTTTCCACTTTTTCGACTTCATGAGGTGTCAATCCTGCTTAGAATGTTACATTTGCAAACACTGAAATTCCATGTAAATTAAAAAAAAGATATTTCTCGTATGATACCATCTTTAATTGCTGTCGTAAAATCAATCTATAAATCAAACGCGACTATAGGTATTGTACGACGTTGATTTGAATAGGATTAAGATTGAAAACAAAAAACCCAACGATTAGTTTATCGATGAAAATAACAAATCTAATTTAATATAGTTATTGACGGTTTGTATTCTAGCATAGGAATTCATAATTTGATTTATAAAAGGTTGAGTAGTATCGAACGGAAAATAAATCGTTAAAGTTTGTGTCATTGAAAATTTTGTAAGAGAAGTTTATAAGATCTACTGTCAGAATGAATGTTTCACATTAACATGAAAAATATTGTGCGAACTATATTACAAACCAGCCTTTTTTTTAAATTGTAAACAATAGTAAAATGTATGTGAATGTTATTTGAAATGATTTCAAAAAGAATTTTTTCATTCTTTCATATTCTTCAAAGAGATTATAATCAATTTGAATTTTATTGCAAAGATTGACATATTCAGTTCATAAAATTTTCATTTAAATAATCTCTCTAGTGAAAGAATATAAACATTTAACTATTATTAAATAATCGAAACAAAATTCTAACACTATATTGGTTAACGAAGATATTTATAAATGAATTTATTCATTTCTATTTATGAATGAACTATAATTTTTTGATACGATTGACATGAACAACTACAATTAGACTTAAACAATTTCTAGAATATATGTTCTACAATTGAATTTCTTCTTAATTTAATAATAACATTAGTTTTATTCATATGAAGTGGTTCGGATCTTTTTTTTTAGTTCTATATAGAGAGAACAGGAAATGAGAAAGAGGCTACAGTACACTCAAATTTGTTTGCTATATCCTGTTCATTTTATTTGTATCTAAAAAAAAAAAAAAACAATTTTCTCGAATGAATTTGATTGGAAATATCTGCTGGAAAATCATCATTCTACTTGTTCTAATATAATATAAATTTCTTCTGAATAGTACAAAATCTTTTCTATTTACAATAACAACTTGAATCAAACTAAACATCTTATTGAAGAGTTCGAAAGTAGATACTTTTCAAATCGTTACTCTACAAAGTTGAGTATCATGATCTGTTTTCAGGAAGTTCTATTATCTTCTTTTTTTTTTCTAAAGCAAAGCTGATGAGAGAAAATGTTTTCTCATCAGTTTGTTACTGAAATAGTTCTCTTTCTTTTCATATACTCAGTAGGCAACTATCGCAATTACAGATTGAACTAGAATTAACTTTATATCACTTTACAACAACAAAGAAAAAGAAGGTATGTGTCTCTGTCAAACATTGTGGATGTTGGACAAAGAAAAAAATGAAATTTAATTCAGTTATATATTTTGATAGAGAGTCAAACATTGTTTAAGATAGACTAATTATATGCTTTTTCATTGTCAAAAAATGATGTTGATTTTCTTTTTTGTAGTGTATCTCTCTCATAATTCAGTGATAGTATAAAGCTAAAGAATTGAAATTTTGTATGGAAACAGAAGTTATTAGTGTTAAATACAGCTAAAATCTTAGTCGTAGTAAAAAGTTACCATTCATTCTCATATAAATAAAATTGCAATTTTCTTGTGTGAGGTAGTCGAACTATGACATATATCAATATAACTGACAAGATAATTATAACTCACAGTAGTAACTCATGCTGAATACCAATCGCAGCATGTCGACAGAAAAAAAAGATCAGAATTTCATTATGATCTGTGATTATACCACTGATGGTTCCTCTTTTTTTTTTTACTTTTGCGATAGAAGTTTTTAACACGAGAGAGGTATATTCCGATATGAAAGTATTTGTTTGTCGATTGAATCTTTAAAGTAGATTTATACAGTGATAGTGTACTGTGAAGATTGAGTGGATGATAATACGATAGATGATAATGAAGAAATTTTTTTTTCTGTTGATTAATAGAAAGGTTTCAGTTCATTGCCCGTAGGCTTATGTAAAGCTGATATGATCAAAAAGAAAAATGAAACTTTTTTCAATGATCGATCAAAATAAAGAAAGTTTTTTTTTGCATTAGTTTATTCAAAAGTTTTGTATGTAGTTGAGAGATATCGAGTAGGATCAGTAAAAATGAAAATTCATTTGTTCTTTTTTTTTTTGTTTTAATATTGTTCACAATAAATATAAATATGAATTTTATATAAATCAGAAATTCAAATATGCTAGATTATACCCATTGATATAGTTTTAGATGAAAATTAATGAATAACAATTTGTAAATAAAATTGATCGATTATCCTATGGAATAGGTATGTAGATAGTTTGAAAAACTATAGAACGTATGTTTTTCTTTTTTAATTTCAAATTCATGCAGAATTTAAATTTTACAAATAATAAATATTTAATTGAATTTTATTTTATTGTTTAAAATAATGATTGTTATTATATTTTTATCGAATGTTGATATAGAAGAAATTCATTCGATTAGTTTTTCATGGGATTGAAAGATTTATAATTTCATTAAACTTTTTTTGTATAGACAAAAATCTTTGATATTATTTAATAGAATATTAATATTTTACATCAACGAAAAGAAATGATTGAAATTCATGTTGAACAATTAGATCAAATAATAAATATTAAACTAACGATAAAAATTTCTCCATATGATGATTTACTTTTCAGTCGAAATTATATGCATTATGAATATCTTGAGAAGATTTCAGGCTCTTAACTTTTTCTTGTGAATAACTCAATATCATAGACTCCATTAGGATTTCGACTAGAAATTTTTTTCTTTTTAGAGAAATAAAAATAAGAAAAAGTTCTAAAACTTTCATACTAAATCAATCTCGATAAAATCTATCCTTTGCATAAACTTTCAAATTGAAATTCGAAAATAAGTTTCATTGATATGTATCGTAAAAAATACAATATCTCCGCATAAAAAGAGTTAAGAGCTTAAACTCTTAGAATAATAAACATAGCTTATTGAGATTTGCATGATGCATATAGTCTCGACTCAAAAATGATTAATCAGTTGGGAGATTTCCTTCGTAACATGTAAGATACAAATTAATTCATACCAATATATTGATTAATATATATTATAGAATCGAATTTGTTTTTTTCTTATTCATTTAGTCGTAGTAATTCATCGACATTTAAAATGTACTCTTGATAACATAAGTCATATATGAGATCGTCTTATGTTTTTCTTGTTAAGAAGAATCAACAAGATCAAAAGAGTATACTATCATTTTTTTTTGTCGTTCTAATTCTATTAATCTAATGAATAAATACACAACATCTCTTTTTTTTTTTTTCTTGTTGAAGATAAGATTTTATAATCACTAAATTCTATTCAATGACTTATATAAGCTAATAATATTCTGAAAGATAATATTTAGCTTGAAGCAAATTTGTTACTTTGAGTACCATTTCTTCATTATCATTGAAAACATATTGTGACAACAAGTACTCAAATCATGATTTTATTCAGAATATTATATTATTTAATAATGCAAGAAATTCTCTTCGTAGAAAAAACGAAGAAGAAGAAGAAGATAATTCATAATTGTGAATTTATCTCATATCAACAAGTATTATTATGTTAGATTAATCTTATGTTGCAGAAGAATAATTTTTTTTTCATTAAATATTCTATCGTATAAAATAATGTCATATTAGATTTGGATCGATGATTTTGTCAATAATTTTTAGTGTCATTGAGTAGCTTGCATAAAAAAAAAAAAGAAAAACCTGTCAGTTCATTTATTTTGATTCATATAAATATAAGTTGTCAAAATAAATGAGAGATCTATTAGATTTAGAATATAAACATCAATTACATCTCAGTTGATGATGAAATAGGAAAAGGAAAAAAAGAAAAAAGTTCTAAATGAAAAATATAGGTTACATTTTGTTAATAATAAAATTAACACAAACGAACGAGAATCAACATGAGAGTTAGATATACTGATGAAATTCAGTTTGTTTTTTTTTTTCATAGAGAACTATTTGTCTATTATCATTCACATTGATGTGATGCGACAATTGAAAGTAATTGTATTCCAGTTCTGCTCATTAGTTTTCTCTTTCTTTTTTTCTTCTTTCGTTCCTTTTATTATTCGATGGTCTTTATCAACGAAGCGAGAGAGAGAGAGAGAGAAACATGGGATTGTTCGCCATAGGACATACTTCATGTGCATTTATTTTCTTCTACCATCACCCATATTCCCAAAAGGACCAGCCAATTCAATAAAGAAGAAAGAATATATATATAGAAGAAACAAAAAAAAAACATGATTGTTCGAGAGGACCGCTAGCACATTGTCCTTGTTGTATTCCATTAATTCTACTATCTCTAGATGATAAAACTAAGAGTAGAAAAACAGTACGAATATTATCTATTGATTTTCATTATTATTAAAATTTTATATTTATCTATTGTTATATATCAATTCTATCGATTAACATTCATCATTCATTATATAATTAAAACAAACTAATGCTTATATATCCTTGTTATATACTCGACATTTAGTTGCAATGTGCATTCACCATGATATAATAAATACGCGAAAAGAAACATACAGTCTCTTCACACGCATTATATTCACTCGTGCGTAGAACAGCAAATGATAGCGAATAGTTTTATGCACCTGAATGAAAAAAAAATACTCATGAAACATGAACACCTTCATCGATAAAATACATTGATAGTATGAGTAAGTAAAGAGACACACACGTGGGTCTTTTTTCTTTTTGAATATGACTTGTTTTATTAGTTCGAAATTCTACTATATCTTTTTTCTTTTTTTTTTTTTTTTAATAACAGACGAACATAAATATTTAAGAATCGAATGACGACAATGAAACATTAAAAAAAAATATTTAATTAATTCTTTTTTTTTAATGTAATACAACAACGAAATGTTTTTTCGTCTATCTCGTATACGTTTTATAATTATACGAACTTGTATTATTTCATTAATTATAATATTATTTTTACAATTTTCAACATTATTTAATAATAATGATAATATACAAATAAATAAATATGATAGATTATTAACATCAGAAGAATTATTTTGGCAAAAATTATATGATGAAGATAAAAATTTAACTGATGAACAACGTATTAAACAAATTGAATTAATTAATAAAAATTTTATAAAAAAAAATTTTAATTGGACAAAAATATTTTTTGATAGTTATACAAGAAAGTTATTAAAAATTAATGAAAGAGATATGAAAACAATTTATAAATATCGATTTAAAAATAATGAAAAAAATATTTTACAAGAAAATTTTCAAATATTTGAAGAAACTCTCGTGAGTAAACTATAGAACAACAAAAAACAGTGTTCAATATCTAAAAAGAAAAAATTCAGCTCAATTAAATCTACTATGTCAGAGAGACAAGAACAATTCTGCACTTTTGTTGTATAAAAATTAATTTCGAGAAAAATGAAAAAGATATTTTCCTGTATGTATCAGGACGTTTTTTTTTTCCTCAACTAAAATGATAAAAAACTAGTCGTGTTAGAGATCTATGACTCATGTTCTCAGCATTTTTAGAAATTATCATTAGGAAAATTTTGCATACAAAGAATAATCGCAACGAAGATTTTGAGAGTTCGGTTTAATAAAAGTACTAACTAACACTGAAGAGCTCTTGTTTGTCTTCATAAAGGAGTGAAGTTCATAGGCACAACAGGGGTGAGGTGACAGTCAGTAATTCAGGAGACTGATTTTAAAAACGAAAATTTTGGAAGTCGCTCTCTCCGCTCGCAAAGTGGGCGTTTTTCCATAGACTAGGCCAGCATGTGGTTTTTTAACTTAGAAAGATCTGCTCTATATGGATCTTCGATATAATAGCGATTTTGATTGAGTGACTACGTTGTTCGGCACGCATCCATAAGGTACTGTATGCAAATCTCAGTACCACGAGCCATGGAATAGTTATTTGTCTTGGATCGCCCGTTCGATAGCATGTTGACTACATTACTGACATATGTGTTAGTGTGTACGGAAAGTTTAAGCTATTGATCGCAAGAACTCTACGTCAGACCGGCCTTCTGTCAAGAGCTACTACTAATCAGAGTTATAGAAAAGATATCGGACTATCGAATCTACCGCTAGACAGAACTATTCTTCCTTGAATATGATACTGCTAAAATTTGTTTTGAAATTCAATTCAGTGTTTTATTCAAATTTCCTCTTCCCGACGGACAATTTAAAATTCCGAGAAGACCAACGCTAATTATTGGAAGTACAGGTACATAGTATCTAGTACAATACTCATAAACTCCGGAAGAGACTCACGCTCGATAAAATATTCAATAATCTTAAGTTATATTCTACACAAATCATTTATTATTTACAGGTATTTGATCGTCCAAAATTTTGTTCATCAAAAAGTATATTTCATCCTCAATGTCCATATTCAAATTGTCAATGGAATTGTGATAAACCATTAATTAATGATAAAAATATTCGTCGTGCAAGTATATTTCATCATGTTGATATAAAACAAGATGAAATGAATGAAAAACTTCAACATCGTTCATATAATGATATATGGATATTATGGATTGATGAAGCAAATCGTCAAATTGAACATTTAAATCAATATCAATTTAATTGGACATTAAGTTTTCGACAAGATTCAGAAATTTCAATTGGTACATATGGAATTTTAATTGAAAAAGATGAAAAACAAATATTAACAAATGATAATTTATATAATAATTCAGAATTATTTGAAATTTTAAAAGATCATCATATTGAAGTAACTAATATAGCATTAGAAAATCATATTTTATACAATTATCGTTATCGTTATAAACATGCACTTTGGTTTGTTTCAAATTGTCAACCACAATATCGTCTTAAATATTATAATGAATTAAAAAAATTTTATTCAATTAATGCATATGGTTTATGTGTTGAAAAGAAATGTGATAAAAATGATAATTGTGAATATAAACAATCTAATTTAGCACTTTTTTATTTAGCATTTGAATCTCAAACATGTACAGATTATATAACAGAAAAATTTTGGCGTGCACTTTATTATGGAATGATACCAATTGTTTTAGGACCATCAAAACAATCCTATTTAGATTTAGGTGTACCACAAACAGCATTTATACATATTGATGATTATCAATCAGCTAAAGAACTTGCAAATCATTTACATCAAATTACAAATAATTATATTATTTATAGAAAATATTTTCAATGGTTAAATCAATATGATGTTTTTTATGATATAAATGTTCTTGAACCAATTCGTATGTGTGAATTATGTATGAGACTTAATATGCAAGAATTTCAAGATCATAGTTTTTATACTAATGTTCATGAATGGCATCGAAATGCATGTTAAATACAAACTATGTTGTTATTTGTTGTTGTTTTTTTAAAATATATTCAAGTGTTTTGAAAAAAAAAAGAATAATCGATAAGAGAGAATATAAACTTTACGATTATTAAAAATGATCTATTATTCAATAGCCAGTAATATGTACAGATGTAAGCTGATTGGCTGAACTACCGCGACACAAAAAAGAATTAGATATTTGCTTTTTTGAAAGCTTCCAACGTCACAAATCAGTCTTTGGAGCTGTTCTTATCTATAAGTTCTCTACCATCGTTTTCATTTCAGTCGCGGTTGCTGCCGAAGTCTCACTCTACTAGCATGCAATATGTATATTATATTCTGTTGTCTATTGATGATTTACATATTATAAATCGCATAAATGACCATTTTTGAATTTGTATTTTTTTTTAATAGTCTCCGTTGCCAGCAGAGAAGCTTTTCTCACTTCTTTGAATGGTCTTGAACAGTGGTGGATAGAGCCCGTCAGGTT